GCACTACGGCGTGCTGTTGAGTGCTGGAGCGCGCAATCGTCGGCGCAAGTGTACACCGACCCTTTGATTGGGCTAAGCCCGGGACAACATAACACTTTTCCGCGACCACCTGGAGGCAGCCCTCCAATACTCCTTCGAAGCCCACGTTCCCACGCCCAAGCATCCGCCTCGCCTCCCTCACCGGAGGCCGCACTTCTCTGCGGCAGAACCGATGCCTTGCCATACTCCGCTTTCTACAGCGATGGCGCTCCGTACAGTTGACGACCACATTCTCGTCGTGGCTCTCGTCGTGGAGTGAGCAGAGAAAACTGCGAGATGCATAAGAGAAGCGGCAGTTGGAGGATTTATTCTGTGGTGGGACGTTCATTCGTTTTCTTCGTGAAATAGAGCCAGCACCCGTTTCATAAATCGAACACTAGAAGAATTGTATGTTGCACTACAGAGCGTTTCAGAAGGATGAGTCTCAACACACTACACTGAAACACAATTTATTTTTTAAAATATACGACCTATATTCCGCTTCCGAAGCAGATGCGCGTCGAGTGCAGACCACACACCACAAGTGACGACGGCCTCCAAGTAAATCTGGTTACTAGTGGTTCATAGTGATAGCTGATAGTTGGTAAATGATAGTTGTAATTAGTGACAACTGATAGAATACAACTGCAACAGGCTAATCATTTCATTGGCAGAAAACATTTACATTTTGGAGGCCGTCGTCACTTGTGTTGTGTGGTCTGCACTCGACGCACAGTCGGTTTTCGAAAGCAGAAACTTATTTATGGGAAAATTTGGAAATCCACTTGATACAAGCACCTTTGGTGAGAGGACTTCGAACGATTTTCTCCCAGACACTTTACTTGCGTTTCAGTGACCATGTGTATCGAAAGCATAGCATTCAATAGTATTTATTGATAATCTGGACGATCTACGCTCTGCACGGCTCCGTTCATAGATCGCGGTTATTGCGATTTAGCGATTATGGCGAGAGGAAAACATATGTATATATATCGATCCAAAACTTGCCAATTAGCGATAAAGCGATTGGCGGTTTGGAAGATGCTAAGTGGGCCAAGTGCACATTGAGACCGCCGTCACACTCGGCGACGGACAAGTTCGAAAATGTTTTAAATGAGTAAGGAAGAAAATTTTAGGGTGGCACCCACCATTGGGTGCCATTGTCCCACGCGACGGTCATAGTGGCACCCACCGGTGGGTGCCATTGTCGCCAAAGGGTTAATGCGCTCATACAATGGGATCTGATTCGTGTTTACCAGGAACCCGTTCACAACGTGATGCAGTTTAATGGAAAAAGTTTCCATTTTCGTGGAGAATTTCTCGAGCGGCCCTAACAACACCATGAAAGGAATGAAACAATGGGTTGTTGCGACACCCAGTGGTGATAAACTTTTGAATTGCCTAGATTCAACTTCCTTTTGCTCGTAAATCTGATCTTCTTCTCTGTACCATGGACCAATTCAACGCTAAACTTGTTATAAAATTTTAACATTGAATGTGCAAGAGTTTTACTTTCTAGGGCAAAGTTTCATCGTTTTTCTTGGCCTTTACAGAGCCGTACAGAGATAGCGGACCTTTTCTTTGTCTCCATACACATGCTCATATAAAATGCTTGAAACCCTTCCACAAAAGCTTCTCGCGATCTGAATGCATCTGAATTCGGAACCGGCCCGTACACCCTCTCCTATCACCATGCACTCTTGCGACTCGCAATCTTGCGGTGTAGCACATGGGTTGGATGAATATGGATGTGTCATTGTTCCTTATTCCTGGGAAGTCAACATAGCTGTGTTTTTGCAGTCTGCTGAGAAACAAACAAATTTGTGCAAACTCTTCTCTGAAGTGAAGATTGCAATGGTCTGGGCAGGCAGCAAAATAATCGAATTGTTTAATTATAGTATGTGGTGGAGAATTAACAAATTCCCACGAGAACAATCAAATCTAAAGAAATTTCCAACATCGCAACCCTGACGCATGGCTTTGTTTCATATATTTCACTAAAGCTCTTTCTTTCCACCAGTTCGAGGAAACAGAGACATAGGATCACTGTAGCTGAGACTGTATATCTCAACTGTGTTTGCTCTGGCGAATTTGCCATTATTTGGCTATCAGCTTCTAGACAATCTAGCATTTAGGTGCCTTCCATCTGCCTGTTGACATCAGATGGGTAAGCTTTGGTTCCTGACAATAGACATTATCGTAATAGTGCTGCAGTTCGCGGTTATCACCTGTTATGGTTTTGTCCTTATTCTATTTTCAAAGTGGGTTTCAAATCATTTTCCAGTATACCATTAAATAATGGGAAACCCATAAGGGAATTGTGTACTTTTCCAGGCACAGAAGACTACGCAGGAATTCCAGCCATCGATTACTACTTTCTTTGGCATTTACTGACTTTCTTCACGCAACTGCAAGTGGGTTTTCTACATAGTCCTCATCACGACATTAGCTTCATCTGAATAAGTTGCCTACCTTCAGCTCTTCCCTACACCATATTTCTGTTAGCACATTGGAACCCAACGTATTTCGACCTTGATCCGTGTTTCGTGTTGATCTCCAGTACTCCTCTTGTGGTGCAACTGAAAATCCATCTCACGCTCACCATCTCCATTGCTTTTGAACGAACGCTGGTATGAGTGTATTCCGATTATTGGAGCAAGGGATGCCTATGAAGCATCTTTGTTTCAGGCTCTCTTATTTCCTATAATATTTCGCAAACTTTCGCTCTCTTCATATGCTATGTACTGTTTGTTAATCGGCTGTCTATTGGGAATTCTTGATCTCATTGTGGAATACCTTCTCACACCGTTAGAGAGAAAACCAAATTGTGCAGCAATCGGATGCTTCATTAGCAGAGAATTCCGCTACTATTGGGGAGCTAGCAACATGGTCAGTCAATTTAGGGATTATCTGTCATTGCGGATGTTCTACGGGTAGTGCTCCGGTTTAGGCAATGGGTTTCGCTGTTATCGTGCTAACAACAGCGGTCATCGCCAAACTACGATCCGTTCAGAAGAAATCGCAGAAAGTTCAACACGCTCAGTCATTTGGCAATGAGTCCAATAACTTTACGCAGGTATTTTAAAAGCTACTGTACATGAGAGTGGGTGCGATGGCTGACACGCCAGTCAGAACGCTTGCTTTAAACATAATGGTCATGGGGATGCGATTGGTAATCAAAAACCAGAAATAATGTGAGAGTTATGTGACGAGAACTATACAAAAACGGCTGGAGAAGAGGCTTCAAAGACCATTGACCCGCCAACACTGTAATTCGCAAAAAAGGTGCGGCTCCGGTACCTACTGAGTATGTTCGTCAATTTCACCCACCTTGTTCAGACAAGGTTCAAGTTTTTTTAAGCTTTTTTAAAGTTTTTTTTCAAGTTCGATCCATTTTTCAAGATATGGAACCTTCCGAAAGAAAAACTGGTTTACCTAGACTACATTCAGGCTAACCGCACCTCTGCTGGAATTCTTCTCTCCTCTTTACTGTTTATCACAATTCCCAGCGTTAGCGTTGGCTTTATCGAAATGCTCGGTTATTCTATCTTTATTGCAGTTGGCCCGTTCTACATTGTTGGCTTACTGTGTGCCGGTTAGTTTATTTTTGACATTCTCGTTTTTCTAAAAATAGTGGTATACTGTCGCACTAGTGAATCCTCCATGTGTTCAGGTTTTTGCAACAGCATTCTTTACATTCTGTTGAACCGAGAGATGCGAGAATTAGCGAATAATTTTGTGTTCGATAATGAGGAAGCAACCTTAAGGTCGCCGACTTCAACGAAGATTTATGCAGTAACCAAACGCCTGTCTAAAGAGACGTTTCCAACTACGCTATGAGTCGTAGCGTGCTGTTTTTGCTAATGAAAAATATAATAAAGCCTTCTACAGATCGAAAGTCTTTATCCACTTCTACATGTTGAGCAAGCTTTTCTAAGCATGTTAAATTGAATTCCTTCCATCAGTGCAAGCGACTTGATAAGAATCGTAAGAAAGTTATAAAATGGGATAGAGCTTCATACTCTCCTGCTTGACATGGCAATTATTTGGCTGTCCATACACTTGAGAAAAAACACAAATCTGGTCGGCCTGATACGTGATTGGCGTACGTTAAGCTGCAATTTAAAGCTGTTTGAAAAGAGTCCCCAGCGCAATGGGGGAACTGGTTATGCTTCACTTCAGGGTTATCGGAGCACAATAACCTTTTTCTCGATCCCGCCTAGAAAGGAACGGATTTATGGCCGAAGGATGTTCTGCGATCTGAAAGAACATTAGCTTCGAAGGGTGAGTTTCCATGAATATCCTGATTTTCTGCATGTATTCCGTTTGAACCGATTGCTTGATGAAGGGTAGCAAGACCTGGATTTGTAACGTAAGCTATATGCGGAGTCACCACTGAGTCGGAAGGGAAGAAACTTCAAACTCGAATCCAGCATTAGAGAGACACCCGATGGTGAAGTTGATGGAGCTGCAATTGTTCCGCTCCTTGAGGTTCTGACCAACGCGCTCCACGACTATTGTTGAACAACAATACGGGCGAATGGATGGGCTCACCCCTACACCATGCTTGGGAAATATGGTTAAGTTTACTTCATCTAAGCAAGCTCGTCTACGAATTATGAAGAGGTTCCACCGAAAGCCTCCAGAGTTCTCATGGAGCCTTCCGACCCACCTAGTGTGTCCAGTTAATAAGCAACAGAATACCATCTGTTTCTATTGACGCCGAACATTTTGCTCACATCAGCATTACCTTTTCAGCCCAGTCACAGGAGGCGGAATCATTGCTTTCGGTAAGCCTCCATTGTTTCTATCGGTGAAAGGATCGAGGGAAGTAGTGGTGTCATGAGTGGAGTACAATATGGCAATTTGATCCTATGGACCAATAAAACGATCCATTCTTCGTAACCAAACAAGGCTCTTCTTTAACGACGGATATGTCGCCTGCTGAACGTCCGAATTCGAATCCATTATACTTCACCGATTGTGACCTTATGCCTTAACCCCGCCTCAACTCGGAACCAGAGGTGGTGATCAAAGGTCATTACCGTGGAACAAGGAATAAGGCAACCACGAAGTGACCCTGTATTTATTCACGAGCTTCTCGACACTAATTGTAAAATACATTGCAAAACCCACACCCCACCCACTTCTGAACCCCTGATCATTCCAACCATAGACTACACTAGCACTGCACTACATAGTAGTTATCATCGAAAAACTCTATGATATCAGAATGAAGCGGGTGCTCGCTATAGCATTTCGCGATCTTGCCCTCGTGAATATGTACCATGTTTGGAAAGATGATGGGGCGTGGAGGCGCAGGTGTCACGTTTGCCACGTTGACCCTCCAGTAAAAAAGCCTTCGGAGTTCTTTTTA